GCTGTATTTGAATCGGTTTTAGGACGTCCATCCTTCGGTTCCAGCTGTTTCGGATGTGAAACTAGTTTGGTCACAAGTTTTAGACAAAAACTGCCAACCGGTTGCTGTTCGCGCATGTGCAGTGGTACACTACTTTAAAATGGCCGTCAGAGCCAAACAAACGACCAGAAATCGTGTCTGAAACAGTTTGAAACAGTTTGTTGGACTCCGGTCCCTTGAGGTTCACGTTAGAGCCAGACTGGATCCAGGACGGAGAGTCAGTCCCAAAACTGCTTGTCAGGAAACTTCCCACCAGAACCCCGTCCGGACCCGCTACAGTAAATGAATACACTTACTTCGGTCGGGTCGTCGACTCAGTTCGGACAGAGGAGGTTCCGGGCCAGCGGCCGACGCTGACAACCCGCAGGAACAACGCTGTCTCGGGTCGGAGCCTCCACACGGCGGCGGGCGGCCACACCTGCCGGCTGCGCTCCATTTACAACCCGGCTGTCGGGGTGGCTGGCCAGCTGGGCGGAGTTTGAGCTCCATTTACAGCCTGGCTGACGGGGTGGCTGGCCAGGTGGGCGGGGTTTGCGCTCCATTTACAGCCTGACTGACTGGGTGGCTTTTTTCATTCAACCTTTTTTTATACAGGTTAATCACATTGAGTCTCGGGGACTCATTTACAAGAGAGACCTGATTTCTTAACAAAGAGTGATGACAACCGTGAGTAACAATGACAACAAGACAGTCACAAAAGGCATACAAAATTTAATTATTTTCTTTTTTCTTTTTTACAAATCAAAACAAAATAGCAACCAAAAAGACAGTCAAAAGTAGTGAAAATTAAAAAAAAAACACCTAGATTATAAGGCGGTGTGGAAAACTAAAAACATGAACATGTCTGCATTGGTTTTTGCAGGAACTTCACATGAACTTCACGAAGGAACTTCACGGTGGTTAAAGCCACTTAGAAAGGTCAAGGTCGAGAGCTTCAGAGCCAGGAAGCAGGAGCGGAGTAGGAGACGGCCCTTTTGCCTAGTTCAGCCCGCACTGAGTGAACACTGCATGTAATAATGTCCTAAGCGTGCATGCTGTAGCTGCACGTGTGCAGAGACATGTAGGAGTATGAAGGCAGCAGACCAAGAAGTGATTTAAAGATGAAAATGTATATGGAAGTGTCTGCGTGAGGTTAATGATGTCCAGTTAACCAGTGAATACAGGGTGCAGTGGTGGGTATGGTAGTTACAGCCAGTTGTGAATCTTAATGCACCGTGATGGGCAGCAACCAACATCTGCACGGTGCTTGTAGGAGCGTTCATGTAAATAATGTCACCATAGTCAATGGAGGGAAGGAAAGTCACAGTTACAAGGTGTTTCCTAGCATTCAGTTAGACAGGATCTATTTATGAAAAAGAAACCCAGTTTAACTTTGTTTTCTTACTGGGTTTTCCATGTGAAGCTTAAAAGAGAGATGCCAGTCGACCAAGATACCCAAATATTTATAGGAATCGACAAACTCTATAGGGACACCATTCGAGGATAAAATCAGAGGAAGGACTGATGGGACAGACTTCCTGTTTGAAAAAAAAAAGATATGGTGACGTGTCTCAAGCAGAGCCCTTGACTCAGATCCACTCCTTCGAGCCTTCAGACACTTGGATGACAGCTCAGACATGGAGGGGAGGAGCTGTGGGCATGGACAGGATAGATTATTCAATAAAATTAATTGGTCCAATCCAGTTAGAGCAGGTCAGGGTCTCAACTGATAGTGTAATCTTGTAATTGCATGTTCTGTGAACGTTGGACTGCTCTTCAGTTTTGTAAATAAATCTGATGAATTACACCTTGGTGTTCTGGGAATCTCCTTTTTTCCATGACACCCCCAGCTCTTGCATTTGAGAACGACTGCTCTAACCGCTCAGCCACAGCTGCTCTCAGGATTGGTGCTTCTGTAGTATTGTGGACTCTGTACTGGTCCATTGTGGTGAAGAGGGAGCTGAGCTGTAAGGCAAAGCTCTCCGTTTACCGGTTGGTCTACGTTCCTACCCTCACCTATGGTCATGAACTCTGGGTAGTGACCGAAAGAATGAGATCGTGAATACAGGAGGTTGAAATGAGTTTCCTCTGCAGGGTAGCTGGACTCTAGAGACTGGGTGAGAAGTTCAGTTTATCAGGAGAGACTCGGAGTAGAACTGCTCCTCCACGACAGGAGGAGCCAGTTGAGGTGGTTCAGGCATCTGGTAAGGATTTATTTATTTACCTTTATTTAACCAGGCAAATCCCACTGAGATCACAGATCTCTTTTGCAAGGGAGGCCTGGACCTGAAGGCAGCCTAACATCCATGTTTTTGGTCTGTGGGAGGAAACTGTGGAGTACCTGGAGAAAACCCATGCAGCATGAGAAGATGCAAACCCCACACAGAAAGACCCCAGGTCCAACTGGGGATTGAACCCAGGACCTTGCTGTGAGGCAACAGTGCTAACCACTGAGTCATCTTGCTGCCAAGGATGCTCCTTGGGCACCTCCCTAGGGAGAAGCTTCAGGCATGTCCAACTGGGAGACCTCAGGTAAGACCCAGGAAACGTGTCCTGGGAACAACTTGGAGTCCTCCCAGAAGAGCTGGCTGTGGAGAGAGATGTCTGGACCTCCCTGCTCAAGATGCTGCCTCCGAGACTCGAGTGCAGAACAAGAGGAAGATGATGGATGGAAAACTGAACTGTAACCTAAACATGAAAGATTTAGTCTATGTGCAGGTTACATTGATTCAAAAGATCACATTTTTTCATATTTTGTGTAGATCTATGGCCACTGCATATGAACTCCTTCTTCACATTCTACTCCTCTTTACGGACATTTCTTTCTTTTCACCTTTAAAAGCTCAACACTTGATTTCCCACCAGCTACTGACGTTCCTCTATGAACTCTCCGAGGACCTTTGGTCCCTCCTTGCTTTAGCCGTCGTTCCTCACCTGTCACCCAGACACGAGGGGGTCAAGGATGGATGGATGGAACTTTCTAGTGTACTTTATAAAAGAGTGCAGAAACATTTTGTTTTGTTTTTGGTAATTTTATTGAAGCTGCTCGTTTTATTCATTTTGGAAGTTTGAATAAAAATGATTTAAAGTTAAAACAGATCAAAGACTAAATAAACGGAGCTCCTCCAGAACAATCAAATGTACAGTTTGTATTCTCACACAAATCTTATTCAGCTCACATCAACGCACTGGGACAGGTGAGGACGAGGAGCAGCTGGGGGGCAGATGTGAAGAAGAAGAGCAGCTGGGGGGCAGATGTGAGGAAGAGGAGAAGCAGGAGGACAGATGTGAAGAAGAGGAGCAGCTGGGGGGCAGATGTGAGGACGAGGAGCAGCAGGAGGAAAGATGTGAGGACGAGGAGCAGCAGGAGGAAAGATGTGAGGACGAGGAGCAGCAGGAGGACAGATGTGAGGACGAGGAGCAGCAGGAGGACGGCTTCTTTAAAAACAGACGCTCAGATGGTCATGGTTAAAGGTCTCCCATTTCCAGCCCGCCGCCTCCTAAGGCCCGGCTGTTGTCGGAAACGTCAGGAGAGGAGCCACCGGAGTTTGGGCTTCACCTCCTTCGCCTGCTGCTGATCCTGCAGGAACAAAAAGACCAAAATGGTGAAAGAGGCAGGTGCAGAGGTCCACAGCAAAGAGCTGCTGCAAGTTCTGAAGAGGAGAGGAAACGGATCAAAGGTGTGGAAGTGCTGCTTGGCAGCTTCTTAGAAAACATCTGATGTCCATAATCTGCTCGTTGCTGCAGAAACTCCTCAGTTTTCTGGAAGGAAAAACTCTGAAGTGTGAACATGAATTGAAATGTTCTGCAGATGAAACAGCTGCACGAGGAAAACAACTCCATGTTTTATTACAGATTATTAATTTGACTCAAAACAACTTCATGATTGTATTAAAGATTATTAATATGACTCAAAACTACTTCATGTTTTATTACAGATTATTAATTTGAATCAAAACAACTTCATGTTTTACTACAGATTATTACCATGACTCAAAACAACTTCATGTTTTATTACAGATTATTACTATGACTCAAAACAACTTCGTTTTAATTAAAGATTATTAATTTGACTTAAAACAACTTCATGTCTTTGACAGATTATGAGCATGTCCAGAGGAGGGACAGTCAATTGGTAGAAGGACGTTGGCAATGCAGCTGCCAGGAAAAAGACATATGGACTCAGAGAGGACAGAGTGAGACGAAGGAGGACTGTATGAGAAGGGACAACCAGAAGAACATGGAGTCTGTTTAATGTTTGAAGCAGCTGTGGTCTAAGTTCAGGACCTTCAGCTGGCCCAACAGTCACCTTACATTATGGATGTGACTTCCATGAAGGTAAAACTAGAATCTATATAGTCTTTGAACCATGTCACCTTCTGGACTCAGGCTCTGTAATCTGAAGGAGCTGTAATGAAATAAATCTTTCTGCATAAACAAACTGTTAGCTGTGAGTTTCTGCAGCTCATACAGACCTCTGGCGAGGCGAAGACGCTCGGACATGTCTCGGAGGAGAGTAGCTGAGGGAACGAGACTCTCTCAGAGAATCTGCTGGAACCCGGACAGGTCTGGCAGGGCTACGGAGAAAACCAAAGGGTTTCAATCGAAAAATTAAATTCATTCAAAAATTAATTCACATACACACACATTATATATATATATATATATATATATATATATATATATATATATATAT